CATCCTGCCACCTGTTGGCAGCTCAGTGGCTGCTCAGCTTGGGCCAGGACTCAAACTGCTGTTGCTCAGAGCTCAAACTCTTGAGCGAGCTCTTAACCAACTGAGCCACTCGGCCGGCCCTAAAAAAAAATCAGTTTTTGATTCTGTTATTGGAAAACTCTTTTGTGTGTTTGGAACAATTTGAAGATATTTTCAATGATTCATTTTATGAAATCTACCTATACAGATTGAACATTTCTGATGAAAGTGTAATATCTGAATTGAGACATACTGCATGTGTAAAACAATGGTATTTCAGAGGTGTAGAGTGAAAAAAATCCTGTAGAGTACCTCATTAATAATTTTGTAGTATTGCTTATATGTTGAAGTTTTTGGATGCACTGGAGTAAATAAAAGATATTGAATTTTATCTATTTCTTTTTAGCTTTTTAGAGAAAGTTTAAAATGCCATACGTAGCTCACGTATTTTTATTGGCTAGTGCTGCTCAGACCTTATACACCCTGGTTACCCAGAGCGACGAGCTATAGTTTGGCTATCGCCATTGATCTTCCAGTGAAATAAGCAGAACTGAATAATTCTTATTGCACTGTTTGTGTAGGTTTTAGTCTTGGCATCACCTTCTCCAGGAAGCCCTCCTTGATTGCCCCAGAGCGAGTTAAATAGCTCATTTTTATGATCTCTTCTAGCCCCCGAAACTCTCCGTGATGGCATCCTCGTCAGTTACCGTATATTTTAAGCTGATTTGGGTAGTTAATAGCAACTACTAGTCTGTGAGATCCAGGGCAGTATCTGTCCTGTTCCCTCTAGAACTTCCAGTATCTGGAACAGCGTCTGGCACAGGACAGGTTCTCAGTGGATATTTGCTGAAGGAGTGAACAAGGAAATTCTCTTTAAAAAGCTTTAACCTGGTTGTCACTGCATGACAGCTATTTCACTGTTTCCTTAAGTCCAGTTCACCTGCTTCCTCATTAGGCATATTTTTGAAACAATGAAGATGGTAAAACGAACATAGCAGTTACAGCACAGATTTTGCATTTGATTGTAAGGTTTCAATCTTAGCTATCACTTAAAACAGCCTGTCTCAATTTGCTCATCACAAACATGGGCATATAAAAGGCACCTCCTCTGGAGATGATTTTTAGAATTCAGGGGAGAA